ATCTTCTTTTACTACTTTTATTATTATTTTTATTTATTTCATAAATGAGACAAATAATTCTCTTACATTTGTTCAAAAAAACAATTGAGAATAATAAAAGTGACTCTATTAATTCTAAAGATGAGCAAATAGTTTTATAAACTATTCCAATAAATCCACACCAATTTAATAATATAAAAAATTGAGAACCTTATCCTTGAAAGCACATCAGATAGATGTTTAATCTCTACTAAGCAGGTCACGTGTTATGACAAAAGTAAGATTTTGTAATTGTAGATGACACTACTTGAATAATTAAAGTTCAATTTGATTTTCATTTATAAAAGACATTTCATGTAGCCTAAAGTACCAATTAAGATCATCTTCAATAGTGTAAACATTATTATTGAATTTGATGGTCATCATATGTCATTTCTCAAACCTATTATATACTAATATTGAAACACCTTCATTATAAACATCTTCATCTTCCCGAATCATGAAAAAAATTTCATCTCTTGCATTACTTAAGAGTTTCAACTCATGCGGGATCTTAAAAGGTTCTCCTACACTTCTTATCCATGTTCCAATATTTGTAATCATTTAGGATAAATTATACAAGGAATCCGACATTTTTAAAAATATATTCTTCTTCTTTTTCTTGTTCTTTATGAATGTTTAAAAACTCCATTATAAAATTATCCATCTTTTTTCAACATTTTAACTGCTTCTTGAGTTGGTTATCACATGATCAAATAAATTAAAAAATTAAAAATAAAATAAACATGATGAAAGGACTAATTGAGCTATAAATTTATTTTAAAAAACTTATTTTCCTTGAGAACTGAAAATAAAAAAAATTAAATAATTTTATAATGGAGTTCGTGAACAATCATGAAGAACAAAAATATATTTTTAAAATTGTTAGTTTTCTTGAATAATTTACTCTAAATAATTACAAACATTTAGTTGAAATTATGGAAACAGAAAAATAAATCATAAGAATATCTTTTAAGGGTCGTTAGAAGTTGGATCCCAAGTGATGTATGAGATAAAATTTCTCACTAGGATGAAGATATTTATGATAAAATTTTTTTAATACTAATCTATAATAAACTTGAAAAATGACATATGATGTCTCTTAAATTCAAAAATAATATTTATACTATTGAAGCTAGTCTTAATTGGTATCTTAAGCCGTTATATGAAATATCCTTCACAAATAAAAGTGAGATTAAACTTTGTTTATTCAAACAACATCATCCATAACTATAAAATCTTACTTTTATCATAACATATGACATGTTTGAAAGAGGCCAATCCCCTGACTTATGTGCTTAATTTCAAGAATGTGACTCTCAATTTAAGAAACATTTTTTTTTAATTTTTCATGTTATCAAATTGGTGTGGGTTCTTTCTGTATTTTTTTCATTGTAATTTTTTTTATTTTGTTTCATTCTTTTTTTTTATGAACTCCAATAATATTATTGTGTTTTAAATATTATATAATATGATATTTTTTTATGCACCGTAACAAATAACCACTCTATTTTCATGCTTAATTATTTATTTTCTTTAATACTAATATGAGTGCTATAACTATATTATCAAACTCTCAGACATTTTAAAGTTTTAACTCTTTTTAAAATTGATATTATAAAAATTACTATTATTTTGACTTGCATAATTAAAAAAAAAGAAAGATTTCAACTTAAAAAAGATATACACCAATTTTAAAAAACAGTTTTTTTAATTTTCATCATTGATTTTAAAATGGAAGGTTTTGAGAAGTATAAAATCTTATCTTTTTTAAATATAGGAGCAACCCCAGTTTTTTATGCTTCATCTGAAGGACTGGCTTCTTATTTGGCCTCAGATAAGTCTGATAGACATGGGTTTGGTTGGAATCTGATGCACAGCACATAATTGATGAAATATAGAGAAGGAAATACTTGTACTGGTTGATTAGCTAATGGGAGCCGAACACATGAGCATTTTTCTATTTACTTAACAGTGTCTTGGTAGTCCTCCTTAGGTTTGCTAGAGTCACGGTATAGGAATTTGTTGGGCAATTTTTGGACATTTTGCTCCATCTTTTATATATATATATATATATATATATATATAAAAGTCAAACAAAGAATGCTGAATGGTTTCGAAGTCTCCCCAGGTGCGAATCAGCCTCGTGCGCTGTTTTTATGTTTTTGGAGAAACAACGAAGGCTTGGCTGAATGGTTTCAACGTCTGAGCTACTGTTTGTTTGGTTTGATGATCGAGGTGAGATGCGAACCCCGAATATAACGATCATCACCAGATAGAGCAGATCACGGCTCAGCTTGGAAAGTAAGGGCGTGTTCTATTGGTTTCAGAGCCACAAAATCAAGAAACAGAAGAAGATGCTGCAAAAAAAAAAAAAAACGAAAGAAAGAAACTTAAATTGTTTTGGTGAAGAAGGAGAACACATGTTAGACGCACAGGAAACACTGAAATAGAAGAATATGCTGAAAAGGGCGTGCAAGTGAGCTGCTGGTCACTACTGATAATAATATATAGACCCCCAGGTGTATATACAGAACTTGCCCAAGCTGACCCCGCAAGTGGTGCCCCTGCGGCTAGTGTAAATGGAGATTTTGAGTCAGGACCTGGCGACGAAGAAGAATTTAGCAGCGAGGTGGTCGAGCTCGGACTTGGTGAGGTGAAAATTGGCGGTGACTTGGGGGACGTGGGAGTTGGGGGAAAGTGTGGTCGGAAGGAAGGGGACGGGGGCGGATTGAAGAGGGAAATTCTTAAGTCTGATATTGCAGAAGCTGGGGGAAATTCTTAAGTTGGGGGAAATTCCTATATACGGGGCTTTCTCCTGTTTTTTAATTCCCGCTTCTTTCATTTCAAAACTCCCTCCATCCTTTCAAATTAAAAAGAAAAAAAGCCGATCACCTTGAGCTCCGTGAATGTCAGTCAATTCATATGACCTCTCCTACCCTACTCACTGTTCATCTTTCATCATCCTATACGCTCTATTGACTCTTCATTTTTCTCCGTCGAGCTTGTCTGCTTTTAAAAATGGCGTACATTACTCAACTTCTATGCGATTGTGACGGTGCCTATATGATCTGCAAGAGGGAGCTGGCGGATGAAGAGAAGTTTATGCACAAAAAATGCCCGGCGCAATGGCATGTTAGCCGCCTCTTTAATCCTCTGGCCACCATGACGCTTCTCTAACAGAACTGGAGGTCAAGAAATGTCAGCAACTCATGAGTGACAAGACTGGGTTGGAGGAAGACGAAGGTGGCGAGGAGAAGTAGAAGATAGAATGCGAAGGGAAGGATGTGTTGGATATTCTCAGTGGGACTACGAACTAGTCCTTTTGTATACAGCTCCGTTCTTCGTGCCAGACGACCAACTTCCGGCGAGTAAAGGTGCTTTTACTGACTCTAGATCTACGCTAAGAAGGAAACAAGGGTTTGGTGAATCAAGCAGCCACGGACGCCATTGCAGGTGGGGTTGCCATCGTCTTTTACTGTTGAATCATTCTTCTCTTGCATTTTGTTCACCTCTATCTGAAATGTAAGGGACTGGAAAATTGTAGATGGAATACACAGCATGCAAGCTTCACCTCTTCACTTCACTTCGTATCTTTTTCTCACCATTCTTCGCGTCCTTCGTTCAGATTCAGACGAGGACACTGTTGACCACTCCATCCTTCCTTCGCGTTCAGTTCTGCCCTTCGTCGTAGATCCCAAAACTTTGTTGACGCTGGTGTGTGCTTGTCGTCGCTGGATTTCAAGTGATATTGGGAGTTCAGTGATTCTGTGTGCACTGGAGCTTCAATCAGGGGAGGCAGTCATGGTTTTTTCTGCTCATTCAAGAGGTTCCTTATCACTCTCTCTATCTACTGAACAAATTACTCAATTTGAATCATTTTGATTCTCTTCCTGTTGTGTTTGTTCCTTTGTTCCGTTGCTTATTTTGTAATTATGACTTTGCCTTGCTTTTCCTTACTCGATTGCTTGCTCATTCAAAAGTTTCGTTTTTACTCTATCGCGTTGCTTAGAATGAATAGAACATTTGAACTTCCAAGGATTAGGACTATCATAAGACAGAAAATATTTGTTGTGAATGAAAATGGTCATCTTTTTCAAACTATAGTACTGCAGCACACTTTTACAGAGAGATGCAAACTGCCCACTGGTAGATTTGATCGGTCTTCTTTACTGTGAATGGGAGAAACATGCTTCCAAAGTTCCATTATTTTGAATTCTATATGATCAATACATAGTGTAAATACACCACATTTGACATATACTCCCTCCATTTTTGTTGTGCCACCAGAGTTTCCTTTGAAAAACATTTAAGGAGATTAAGTCTGAGAGGAGAGCTTTGGTAGAAGTTGCACAGACGATTTAACTTGGTGGATGCGTTTTTTTTTTTTTTTTTAGCAGAGGATGCGTTTTTATTTTCTATGAAAGTTTAGGACTTTTTTGAATGACAGATATTGTCAAGCTTAGTGTGTATGATTTCATTATTTGTTTGCTATCTAATTAAGTTTTTGTGTTTGCCTAAGAAACAGAGAAGGATATCATAATATAATTCTTGACATTGATTATAATTCCCTCTACTTTGTGGAAATATCTACTATGTTTTTTTTTTCTTACTGGTAATTGTGAGAGTATGTATTATGACAAGTGTTGAATCTTAATTATTTTTCTATAAGCCAATAATTTGTTATTTGGTAGGTAAAAACTTGGGCTGTCAAATAACAAATTATTGGCTATGAAATCACTGCCACTGTTATGTGTTGATTAGATTTACTAGAAAAAGAAATTCTGAGCATGATTGGATTAATTTCTAACTGAAGTTAGAATGAGTAAACTGAAGTTAGAAACTAAAAAGCTCAAAAAATATGGTTTGAATTAACAAAAATTTTTAACCTAAGTTATGTTTAAACGAGCGTTTTTTCAGAAGCCAACAGGCCTGGCTTTTTACTTCAGCGTTAATGTTTGGCCGTTGGAGGAATTTGCCTTTCATATTTTTACGCTTTCTCTCTCCTCATTTATCTGGCACAAGTTCCACTTTCTTCTTGTGCGTCGTCTCATCAGGCTCCTCCCTACTGGCACCGTCTTCATCTTCCTGTGCCTCAGCGTGTAAATCGCGTTGGATTCCACTTTCTTCAGTAACGTCGCCACTTGCTGCTTCCTCTGATCTTGTAGCATGATTCTCAGTTTCTCATTCTACACCATTCATAAGAGTAACATTCAAATCCTGCACAATCCAAAACGCTTGACCAAAAAAAAAAAAAAACAAAGAGAAAAAAAAAACAAATAAACAAAAATAAACACATGTAATAATATCAGGTCCTAACCTGTAATCTGATGAAGCGATCCATATCCTGGCTCTGCTTCTCAAATTGAAGAGCCTTTCGAAATGGACAGTGAAGATGGGTTAAGGTTGCTTGCTTTGGCATCACCAGAGAAGAGAAGGTTTGCCTCGACAAGCACGTTCTGATTCCTCTACCTTTCATTGTACAAATGTCACAAATCCTGTTGCTGCTGGTGTGTCTGTTGGGAATTGAAACACGACTGAGCTAACCCATTCTCGGTCGTCAAATCCTGAGACCCACAAAACGGGAAGGTGAGATTGTTTGGACATAACTGTGATTGAATCGGCATACGCAAACTGAAGGCAAATCCCAAAGCGAGAGCGCTTATGTATAATGTATTGGGAAAAGAAGGATCAAAAGGTGTTGTGGGTGTGGGTGGGAAGAAAGAGAGGCAATAGTGGGTATAAATACAGAAAGAGATTAATGGAAAAGAAGGGAATAAATGAATGGGCGGATTAGGATTGAAAAGATGGAAGTAACTGAAAAACTTAAAAGGAAAATATAAAAATAGTGGATATAAAATTTGAGTTTTAGAATCAAATTTTTATTATTTTATATATATATAATTTATATTTATTTTGATCATTAAAAATTTTAACTGACTTTTAACTTAAATTATCCAAATAAATTTTAATTTATCTAATTGACTTAAAAAAAAAAGGTATTTAAATATGAATTACATTATATTTACTGGCTTTTTTTCTAACCTCAATTTGCTAACTTCAATTGAATTCTAACCTCAATTGTAAATTTTTCAATCCAAACACACTCTAAAAAATATTCTGACAACTTGAAAAAGCAATTTTGAACCTTATTCGTCTAAGCAACGGAGTAGACATAGAGAGTGAAAAGGAACCTCTTGAATTGCAAGTGGGAAGGAAAAACAAATTTAGGACATTAAATCTGAGGACATCTTTGGTAGAAGCTGCATAGAGGGTTTGGCTTGGTGGTTGCTTTTTTGTTTTTCTGTGAAAGTTTAGGACCTTTTTGATGTTAAGCTTGATGTATATGATTACATTATGTGTTTTCCATATAATTAAGTTTTTGTGTTTGCCTAAGAAACAGAGGAAATTCTTGACATTGATTATAATTCCCTTTACTTCGTGGAAATATCTGCTGTTTTTTTTTTTTTTTACTGGTATTTGTGAGAGTATGTATTATGACAAGTGTTGAATCTTAATTATTTCTCTATAAGCCAATAATTTGTTATTAGGCAGCTGAAAACTTGGGCTGTGTCAAACAACAAATTATTGGCTATGAAATCACTACCACTGTTATATGTTTATTAGATTTTTTGGTCAAAGTGATGTATTAAAAGTGTAATTCTGAAACTTATTCTAATACATATAAGGGTCTTGTATATACACTGTCACTGTATCTGGAAAAAGAATAGAAATATTTCTTTAAGGTTTTGTATTGTTTCTGGTCCTAATTACCACCGCTGAACTTTTTTTCCAATGCTTCACTTATAATATTTTCTCACTAAGTTGTTCAAAGTGATATCATCTATTTATAATTCATATTTCATGCATTTTTACCCTACATGTTTCATTAGAGCTTGTGTAATATCTTTTAATCTTACTTTTATCTATTTTAGAGTTTAAAATTATTAAGAATCAGCAACTGAATTGTGAATCTTAGACAAAATCCAATGAAACAAGTGATTGAAATTATTCTTATATCAGTAAACACACTTTTATATATCCTGCTTACTAATCCATAGATTTTGAAATAATAGGAGTCAAATTCATTCCCATTCCAGGATTGAGCACTAACTCTTATGGAAAGAAGCATGTTGAATTGTTTACTCACCCATAGTCTTCACAGGTTCAAAAGAGTACTCCAAAAAATTTCAAGGTAGCATCAACATCCTCCATCAATGTAAAAAATCTGATTTTTTTTTCCCTTTAATCTACTCGAAAGTGTGATATTTAATGCAGTATCTTTATTTTCCAGAAATTATTCCAAAGATCGTGGAGTTGTGATTTCTGTAGTCTTGACATTTGATTAGACACACATACACAAAAATACCGTGCTGAATTGTGTAAAATCAACCACAGATTTTCTCCAGTTGTGAATAGATTTTGCTTATTCGAAAATGATATGGTCAAACCTTTTTGTAGGACAATTTTTTATTTTTGTGTTGTCAAGACTTTTAGATATTATCATGATATGTATTAAGTAGTTTAGCTGTACTGATTTTTTATTATATGTAATATCTGACCTATGTGATTTAGTGTGAGAGATTGATCATCTTTCCTTACCCCTATCTATTTGATGTTTATTTCTATTTCTTAGTTTTCTTTATCCAAGAATATATGCATGTTGTAGTTGACTCTAATATGTTTTTTGATTTGTAATAATTTATGGGATTGTTGTTTAGAGGGGATGACCATTGAGTAAAAGTTGTCAAACCTCAATTCTGATATGAATTTTGAAAAATGGTCCTGTTCATCTAGCATGCTCTATGATGTGAAATGCTATCCCCCTTTTTTTTGTTGTTTCTGTTGTTTAGAAGGTCTTACCATTAAGTAAATCTGCCCTTCCCACTATGTGCTGAATGTTTGTTTGTTTGGGAACTCCTTATAAATACTGCGTAAGGGTTAGAAAAGTCTCATGCAATGGTACAAGACGTATAGTCCAATTTCAGATAATTTCTTTGAAAAAAATAGTTGATGTAATCTGTTGTCCAATTATGATTGCAGAAACCAAGATGGCCCTCCAAACTTGACCTGGAAATCTAAGCTGCTAAGTTTGAGATTATGCATGCTCCTATGGTGGTACATGACAGAACTTTATGCTCCTCTCTTCTGCAACATTTCCATGTTCAAAAGGTAAGTTTGATAGAGTTAAGGTAATATGAACTTCATAGTCATGCTTGTATATATATATATATATATATATCTATTATGAACGATAGCCATGCTTATATTAATGTTGCTTTTATTCATATTTCTGATTGAGAAGTTAAAGGTTTCGCCTTCAAAAGAATGAACGGTGTTTACTTTCTAAATTTTCGCACTATTCACCTTCAAAAGGTTTTTAGTTTGCGTGTATTAGCCTTTTTGGTAATTCAACATATCTTTCAAGATTTAAAACATGGGGAAAGCAAAGTATGGTGTTACTTTTTGCATTCTGACTCTGTCATTGCATTTTTTAAGGAAAATCATTGACGATTGGTTAACCATATTGTTTTATCATTGTCTATTTGGTATTATATGACGTGTGACCGGGAAATCTTTCATTACATGTCCTCAACAGTAATTCAACACTAGTTTTACTTTCCCCCCCTTTCCTTGCTGTGTCAATGCCTAAGTAATCTAGGGAAAGTGTGATATTTATTGCAGTATCTTTCTTTGCCAAAAATTATTCTAGAGATCGTGGAATGGTAATTTTTGTTGTCCTGACATTTGATTAGACTCATACACACATAAAAACACACGCAAGAGTGCACTCTGTTATTGATGGGACGAAAAGGGAGAAAGATGATGGAGATTCTTAGGGCAGAGAAAATTTTCATGGGAAGACAAAGAAAATTATAAAATCAAAGGGTGGAAAGGACGGGAACATTAGCAAAATCAGATTTGGATTTTCCACAAATATAAACATCAATGTGAATTTAAGAATCGGTGCTAATAAACGGAAAATTGACTTTAAGTGAACTTTTGAGTTACTTCAAGTGTATCAATCTTTGACTAACTTTGATTGAATTCTACTTTCTATGACTCTGTTTTATTGTCTTGGTTAGGTATCTGGTGATGCTATACAGTGCCAAATGATGGACTTGACATGTCCAGGGGTTGTTCCAAAGCACAAGGTGGCAATATGGCTTCACATATCCTGTATGTTGTGATCTTCTAATAGATCTTTTTTAAGGCTTTGGCAATGGACGTTAGCAACTTTTTTGTCAAAGAAGTAGACGATTCTGTGCAATAGAAGATTTAGTCAACATGTGTTTGTGAAATGAGTGTGCTGTTTCGCTGATGTGTGAGCTTGTGTGTTTAGTGATGGCTCTTTTTTTTTTTTGTCTTGACTCAACAAAGTGTACCCTCTATGCATGTAATGGGAGTATGTGTTATAGCAAGAACAATTGGTTGTGTTACGTTTCTGTCATTTACTCAAATTGTGAATACTGTATTCTTGCTTTTTTGGGTTCTCTGTTTCTTTCTTTATTGACAGCTTTTTTACTCTCTCCCCATTTCTTCCTTGGTTATTTAAGGTCAAGCACTATCACACACAGGTTGATTTTCTTAGTGCCTTTTTTGCTATTAGATTTCCTATAGCTGTGGCCTCCCATTTCTCCAGTAAATCCTGCCAATACTGAACTAAGGGCAATTAAGATGGGACTGGAAGTATGCAAATCTTTGGTTTAAAGAATATTCATCTTCATATGGATTCTATGGTATTAATATTAATTTAATTTGTAGAGGTGAAATACCAGCTCACCCCTTTTATGAGGAAATAGCTGAGATTTAAATGATGTTTTAGAGATACATTTTAGATAACACTATTAAAAAGAATGTCCCATCAAGGATGCTTGAGTTGTCAAAATTCTAAATAATCAGGTTTCAAAGCAAGAGTCATCCGAGGACAAGTTATATATTTGTTTGACATGTAATGTTCGAATAAGGTTTTTTACTTCCATTACGTGTGAAGTTGACATGATAAAATATTGTTAGTTGGATTCATATATTTGAATGCCTTTTCCACTGTGTAAGAACCAATGGTTCTGACATTTATATTGAGAGCAAGTAGAGGTTGCTTATTTATTGTTTTCAATTTTCACTTTATGGGATAGTCCATGCGTGTGGGTTTTGGAAATCAAGATGCTAAACTAAGAACCTTTTCTTTTCGACAAGGTATGCATTATTCAGGGGATTATGGAGTATGAACCATTGGTATTATCTGTTTACTTTTTACTTTTCCACCTTTTTTGGTTTGCATGATTTTCAATGTTTTGATTTCTACATATTTGGAATCTTCAATCTACTGTTCAGATCTCATGCATGCCTTTACTTTATGTATCACATTGCTTTTAGGACCACTGCATGTGAGCTATTGTTTCTTCTATGATTTGGTAAAGTTGCTCATATTGGATAGGTCTTGATATTATTAATTTGCAATCCTTGAATTTATGCAGACTTATTTCTTGGGTAACACACCATGATATGAATTTTGGGATATGAGAACTATAGGCAGCAAAGTTGAATTGTATTAGTTTTCCCATGTGTTCCATTTG